ATCGTCATCTTCATTTGGGCTTCGTAAGGATGCCATGGCCAGCATCATTAATATCACGGATGCCGCAAGACTGGCTGAGAGCTATAATCTATGAGCTTAATCTATCGTGAAAGTGCCCTGTCAATCTGAATCACTGCATACCGCGATTATGTTGAGCTATCGCGGACGGTGAGTTCCAGAGTGCAGGTGAAGTGCCTGATCCATACCTCAACTCGGGCTTCCGCAAAGATTTCCCTGACTTCGCTGTTCCCCGGGAGTAGCATGGGAGGTGTCGGAATGTCAGAAAGGGAAGGTGAGACGGTCCCATTAACGAAGATACCATACGCCGTATCCGTAGGCGGTCTGTGTGTAGGGGGGATGTGACCCACTTCGATAAAGTCAGAGGGAAAGTTCACATAGTTATTGCCTTGACTTACATGTCCAAAACATGGAGGCAACAAGAGTTGAGAGAGCATTTTCGAGATCATGGAGAGTCACATTTTGCGTATCACTGTGATTATAAGCCGGTAAATTGAGTCTTTGGATTAGATACCTGGCGAAGAACGAGAAAGCAGCGAGGTCAACCAGCCGTCGCTATATTCATATGAACTAATGTGCTGGACTTACACATCCGCTACTGTGGCCATGATAGTAGAGTCAGAGTCAAAGGAGTTGTCGAGAAAGAAGTCCGAGCTCGGCATCGAACCGTACCACGTTGCCCACTGCAGTACATACATATGTTCAGCAATAAAACACGAAGTTGTAACCCGGTCACAAACGGTGTCTATGAGTAAATTCCCATCCGTGGTCACATTGGAGCGGGGTGCGGTGTACGGTAGCCAAGTTGAGGTGTTTTTTCTAAAGCTTGGCCCTATAGTTTGGGCTATCCCGGATTGAGCATCTACAGTCGCCAGTTGCCTCACCAATGTCAAAGAGCACTGGAGCATCTGGACCGAGGAAACTGTACTATTCATCGGTGGACTGACTTCAATCCAGGATCCGGATTTCCCACTGGAATCGACAATAGGAATAGTGCTGTAGAGGAGGAGAGAATCGTATGGCAGCTCCGACTCGGAGCCGCTGTCTGGACTGGCGGACACTAGTGAGGAAATTATGCCCACTTCTAAAAAGGAATCAGTGACGGTATTCTTGGTCCGAGTGAATTGCCTTACGGGTCGAGTGAATTCTATAGTTAGAATTTGTCCAAGAGTCGGAGTTGGAATCATATGAGAATCTGTCCATCGGAACAGAACCACAGGTGATGTTGAAGCCCGATGCGTTCACAGTTGCATTGCCAACCACCGCATTGATGTCCAGCACATCATACAATGACCCGTCCTGCAGTCCTAGGCTTGTACTAGTAGTATCATCAAGAACGGACGGCAGAAAATAGAGCGATCCCGCCGCATATATTTGCATCTCTGCACTTTGAGATAGGATGAGTGAATTGGTGGCCGCGAAAGTAGGTTTGCTTACTAGGGACCAGGGGTGAAAGAATCAGTGAAAGGTTCAATGGAGGCTGTACCGTTGAAAGCCGGTAAACCACGGGTTGTAGCCAGGAAGGACCGGTATGGGTTGAATGTCACCAAAGAGAAAAGTGAAGATATGGTAATGTGAAGTCCCGAGATAGTCATTAGATATAACGCTGCGATCAAGGTCCGGCCGATTGATGCACGAACTGCCTTTTGATACCAGAGGTGCGAAAGGGCTGCCCCAATTCCTGCCCATGCAGCGGCGTTGTCGTGAGTAGCTGTCAGCACTTGATCCATTTGTAGGCTCCGTCTCCTTGAAAGTGTCTGTGTCACGAACACTAGTATCGCAGAATAGATCTGCAATCCGAGTCAATCGTCCGCCAATCCTTGAGGAGGAATTATAAAGGTACATACAGTTCCAAACGCAGTCGAGGTTGCAGTGATTAGGAAGGAGGCAGCCTTCTGGTTTTCGAGAGCGACGGTGATTCGTTGCTCTAATCCGCTTGCCCAAATTCCGACGAGAGCCAAATGTATGACTACTAGGACCGCGTGAAGGATTAGCGATGAAAGGCGTAGGGATGTTGGTGCGATAAACCACGATCTCTTCGGAGCTGCAGCGCTATTATAGTCACAATGTTACATGGACTTGAATGTGTCGCCACCGACCTTCGTGTGAAGAGGTAGCGGAATCCAGGAGACTGTCTTCATCGCGCGGAGATGTTTTATTGCTGTAGCGAGAGTGGAGTTTGGAACTGCGCATTCAGGCTGAGAGTGGAAGGAAATAGATGATGGATGGTAAGAACATGTACGGCTTTTATCATGCGGAGCTATTCAAGGATATGGCTTCCTGCACACTGTCTGCTGTGTGTTGTAATGGAATCACATCTACTAAGATCCGAGTTGGATCCCGCGTCGCAGATGTACGAAAATGGCAGACAAGAGTCACAAGACAGTGCGCCTTATGTAGTTCCTACCATTGTTCGAGTTTTACCCAAACGTGGGCGAATACATTTAAGTTCGAGGCGCGAGGCGGGAGTTGCAAGGCCCTTGTGCAATACTGGTTTGATGTGGCTCGAGTACGATTTTGTCATAACAGATCATCGAGATGGTTGTCGTTAAGTTAATAGTAATCAGATTCCCTCACTGCATTCCGATGGCCGACCCGATTGTAGTTGAGTTGACATGCTATTTGTAGCTGAGTGCAGCTCTGCGTAGGTCTGGGCAGATAAGTGCAACTCAGTGTAGGTCTGTGTAGATCTGTGTATCCAGCTACAGTGTTGGAAATACAATCTGTGGACAGTGCGTTCCTTTTGATACCTCTCTATTGTTTAAATTTGCAATACCCTCGTTGGTACTGTTCCAGGTATATTTCATATTTCCATTACCATGGTTACTTAGCATGTATATAAGCCACTGGTACTGGACGAATATCTTTAGTTGCGAACCCCTAGTGTCCCCATTTTCCACATGTAGCCCAATGCAAACTTTATTTATGGTGGAAACGGAGCGCTGCAACACTGGCAGTGCAGCTGGTACCTACACTTAGCTGTGAAGAGCTGCATTTAGTGATTGTAGTCACCTACTAGCGCAGATCCGCTAAGCTGCAAATAAACGATGTGTACTAGTACTGTAGTATTTAGACCGGATGTTCATTAATTTTGGAATTTTCAGTCCCCGGGATGGCCGAAAATTTTTCTTTTGATTTAAGGCGAATTTTAAGCACATCAAAAAAAGTTGGTGTCACCCGTCACCTGAACATCCGGTCTAAATACTGCAGTAGTCGGCTACACAGGGCTGTGTAGCGATCTACGCAGACCCGTATGCCTGAGTGTAGGAGTTAGCGGAATGCAGTGCCTGTCTGATGTTTCAGAACTTCCAGTTCGGAAGTGAAATTATGAGCGAGGGAATGTCAAGAGCTCGGGGTGTCGTTGAGACGAGATAGCATGACATGTGTTATGCATTGCTCGAAGCAGGGTCAATGGAACTCTTGCAAGCAGCAGCGAGACTGAGCACGGGAGGTCTGGCTAATAGCAGCGATGATGACGATCGGATCTGTTGTCAATGAACTTGAACAGATGGTAGTTTTGGAGAGTTCGGATCCGGCAACCCGGGAGTCCGGCTAGGGTCGAGTTTTCTCCGGATTTTGCATATGGGTTTGGCGGGTAGCCCATTTTTCTCCGGAACACGTAAATGGGTTCATTTTCGCGTAAAACGCGCTGGAAAATCGATTTTTCGCCTCCCGCACCAGTCCGGATCGATATACGCGCTAATTTATGCCAACTGTCAAGGCACGACAGCTCAGATGTGCTCCAAATCTCGCCGTTTTAGGCAAGATTTCGATCCTTCCACGGATTTTCTCCGGCAGTGGTATTTGGCTCCGCTGCCGGCGGGCACTTTTCTCCGGACCGCTTGTCGGCCGGTCGAGGGTGGTTTTTCTCCGGTCAGTATATGGGTTCCCCACCTATTATCAGGGGACCTTTTCTCCAACGAGGTACTCGTGTCAATCCCCATGCAGCATTCAACCACGCATATAAATTGGCAGCGCTAACACTCCCCATACAGCGCCCGTTCGCCTCCTACCTATGCGCTTTCTACTCACCACCGTCGCCGCCCTCTTTGCCGTCTCCGCTGCCGTGGCCGCCCCAAGCAAACGGTCCGCGGGCACCATCGCTGCGCCCCTGTCGGGCACCGCCATCAGCTCGGGCGAAGCCATCGCATTTACCTACCACAACGTGAACCAGTGCGAAGCGGGCTACACCCCCATCAGCGTGTGGCTCTCTGTCGACGCGCCGGCGACATTGAAAGCCGGCGGCGGGCTCGATGACTACGTCGACTTTTTCGGGAACTACCTCATTGGAAACTTTGGTTGGTGTTTCATTTGCAGCCTGGCGGTCGTTGCGCATGCTGACGCCCGCAGGTCTTCCCCCGTTGTCGGGTTCTGCGCCTCCACCGCCCTCGACACTGACGATGCCGGACCTGTCGAGCTACGCCTCGGGGACTGCACTGTACTTTACGGTTGTGGAAACGACCGCAGCGCACTCCTGTCCGCCTGTACGTCTTGTTTTTTTTATCTTCAACACGGAGGATAATTGAACGGACTGTTTCACTTTCAGGAGGGCATCGTGCCTGCCACCGATGTATACATTTTCTCAACCACCGCCGTGACGGTCGCGTAGATTCAACTAGATGGCTTGTTACGGTCGGATAAATATTCGACCTCACCACAAATACACCAGTTGTGAGCCAGCTTCCACGAAGAAAGTGGGTGTGCCCAGTCGACGAGCCGGGCCGGCTCCAACTGGAATACTCACCGGTACCAATCCCATGTTGACAGAAAAATGTTGAAGGGGCAGAGCCTCAAACACTCGAAGTGCTGTGAATTGCAAGTCATCTGCAGGCCTGAGTTGCTCATACCGTGCCATTTTGCGTTCAAAACGTAGAATAGACTCGTAGTCAAGAACTCACCGTTTCAATGCTAGTGCAAACTTCCTGGCACGTTGTTGACCAAAGCGACACACTAAACTTGTCCTTCAGAACTGCTGAGGTATCTTCGGAATGGTGTAGGGGTAACATTACCGCCTTTCATGTCCGGTAGTTACCTCTGCTTTGCGCGGCAGCCCGGGGTTCGATTTCCCGTTCCGGAATATGTATGCTGAGATTTCCCACTTTTTTAATATTTTATATTTTATAGTGCGGACATAACAAGGTCGCAGTACTTAGTTTTTCTGTTTTACCACCACGGGTGTTTTTATATATTCAGGACGACGTCACAGTTTGACGCCGCGTGTCGGTCATACCGTGTTGTTTCGTTTCCGTAAATCAATATCAACGGTGGGTCGAGCTCGACAGATGACCAACTGAAATGAGCTCGCGGCAATATGGTAACTTGTATTCTGTTCTGGAGTCGACCCCGACAAATACACGAGTTGTGAGCTAGCTTCCACGAAGAAAGTGGGTGTGCCCAGTCGACGAAACGGGCCGGCTTAAACTGAAATACTCACCTTTTTTTTTTTTTTTTTTTTTCTTTAGTGGTACGTTATGCAGGAGCAACTAACAATAGGTTAGTCCGCCTGTTTGTAAGGTTTGGAATATTAATTCCAGAGAGAATGGCTTCCACCACCCAGAGAAATGCATTAAGCACACCCAAGGGCCGTGTGGGACTCCGCGCTTACCCGATACCCTGGCTGTTATTCTGCCAGTACGGGGTCCTCGGTGGGGACGCGCGGTTACCCACTAAAACTCTGGGTTCACCCAAGGGTATAGCACTTTGTGAATAAAGTACATCATGCCGTCAATAGATGCAATTAGGTCTGAAAAGCCCGAATCCGAAGAGAAAAATGTCACAGCTGTAACGGTTCAAAAGATATGGACTCTTTGATCGCCCGGAAATATGCCTATATATGGCTAAACTACCTACCATAAAAGGAAATAAATCACGTGGTTGGTTCAGCCAAGCCGACCGCCGTTTTTTGAAAACGACGCGCCTTTAAGAGATCTGTTCAGAAAAAAATTCAGAAAAAATATTTATTATTTTTGGTGAGAAAGTGCCCATATCTCGACAAGTACTGCGAATTTTAATGTTATCTCTTCGGATTCGGAATCCTCGCCTATAAAAAACCCCTAAACCGGCATAGGTTCCATTTCTCACGGTACGCTATACCCTTGGGTTCACCCAGCCAGTTGGCCGGCAAACTCTGCATGTCGTCCAATAACGCGGACCAAGTATCAAGGACCAGCTTCGGGGACAGCGCGGGACGCTTCCCTTTACGTGGTCGGTTGGCCAGAATTTTATCCATTTGTAGCCTTTGATTAATGATAAATCTGAATTTATTTTCGATCTCTTCTTCAGGGGCCGGTACGCCATCTCGATCAATAACGCGTTCATTTCGGAGTCGCCAAATCAGGTATGCGGACTCGGATATCAAGATCCGGTATAACCGGCGGGCGCCGTGGTCCACAAGTCCCCGTTCGTCGCGAAATTCGGCAAGGCCGCAGCCTAGTATGACCCCGAGCGACAATTCGGGCCATTCAGCCTCTCTCTCCAGCCATAGGGCTCTGGCAGCCTGCCAGACCAATTCGCGCCCGGGGCTTTCACACCTCATAAGGATGTGATCTAAGTCCTCCAGGTCGCCGCAGTCTTTGCAGACGGCACGGTCTTCACACTTGGGGATATGTGTCCAAAACGTCCCAATTTTGTGTGCGTTGTGCACACTCGTGCTTTCCCCCACCATCCTTTGTTCCGTACCACCATCATCTCAATAAGCGAAACCGTCCGACTGCCCTCCCCCACTTAGAACGCACCTTCGAGGTTGCCTAAGTGTACGGGGAGACGCCTCGAGACGTGTTAGCATGCATAGACCCGATAAAACTACCCGAAAATACAAAAACTTAAATACTACACAGCAGAATGTCGAGAAAAGACAAAGGTAGTAGATCGTAAATGTGCATTACACACACGGGACATGCGTCATAGTGCAACTCAAGTCACTGGAACCACCGACAAGCGCTGCGCACGGACGGGCTCGCATAGGCGGCGGCGGGGGGGGAAACAGCATCTCACATGCATACCCTTTGACCCCGAAAATTTACTCCGATCACGCATCATATGGTGTGGAGCACCGCGTAATTGCCGAGACGCGGATCACACATACCCAAACACATAAGTGTGTCATCTCACTATAGTGCCCTTATTAATATCTGTCCCCTGCAAAGGCCAGTTGCGCAAAGCTCAGGCCGCGGTGAAAGCACAATATGGAACATCACGACTGGAACCCTTTGCCCCACCCAGTTCTGGCACCAAACACACGGCATTGCCGCATTAGTGATGTGACCACTGTCACACAGTCGATAACTCTGATGCGATATGACATTCACTGTCAGAGGTTGTCCATCGCGAGGGTCTCAGAGAATGATGTATCAACACTTCAGCCCCACCGAACCCTCTCTATTGCACAGAGTAGGTCCGGGACTTCCAAGGCCAGGGCCAGGGCCGACCGGCTTCCGCTTCTCCCACCATCATCTAAAAAAAAGGGCAAAAGCCCGACTCCGACTGCGCTCCCCCTCCGCGAGCCTATGAGTGGCGGAGGAAGCATTGCTAAATTCTCCAATACTTAATTGACTCCAAATGTGCGGGCACATGCGGCTTGTTATTCTGGAGAACATTGGTGATCAGAGACGTGATAGGTGGATATTTATATGAAATGCAACACTGTATGGAATGCACGACCAGCAACATACCCATTTCATGTTTCATATATTTGCCGCAATCTGAATCCCCATGCTCACTTCATGAACCATCCGCCACCCCGGAAATTGGGATAATTCCTCTTCGGGTTCGAGACTTCTTCACTCTCTTGAAACGGCTCATTTCTACAGCTGTCAAGACTCACATTTCGCTGCCCCATGCTAGTTTCAACAGACATTACCTTTACCAGGATGTCAAGGAAAAACGACAGCAGATCGGTGGGCATTAGGGAATGGTGTTGAAGGAGTTAATTCGACTCGAATGACAAGCTCTTCTTACATCTGGACTGCTTGAGTCTTTTAACCTGGACGAATCTTCCGCTATACCCCAACACCTGCAAATCTTATGGCGCAACTGACCGATACAGAGGTTTGAAGGCCAGAGCACGGGGTATCAATGCGTGTATGATTCTCCAACTTGAAAGTCTGAGCTGTTCCAGTTTCGAGTTTGTTTCGAGGTTCTCATTTTCCACTAACCACTTTTCCATGTTTCCTTTAGTTCTACCGCGGCGAGTTGGAGGACTGCGTCCGTGAGCTCGGCTACGGGGATATGGAGAAGTCCAGGGACAACAATTTACATAGTGCCTGTAAATTTCGATAATTCCTGGGCCCCGGCGTTCCTCAGCGGGACCGTGCCGTGTAATTCTACCTACCTACCTACCTACCACAGGAATTGAGCCGTTCTCGGAAGGAAGTCCTTCACACTGACGGCGTTCCAGATCTCGGTATTCGAGACGTGTCGCCCGAAGGTCTCGCGTATTGCTTCCCGGATCATCTCGAGTTTGCGCTCAGTCGACGCCCGCGGGGCCAGCTTCTTGGTTTTTTCTTCCCGAATGCCGCGATAAAAGACTTTCTGACGATTATTCTGCAGGCTCAATCCGGGGAGAGCGGTGTTCGGCGGGAGTGACAAATCCCACATTGCAGTCTCCAATCTGCGCGCTGCACGTTTAGCAAGCCGGGCTACCCGCTTGCACTCCGCCCTCGCGGCGGTACCAGGCTCAGCAACCTTGAAGTATGTTGGTGCTTTCCGGGCTTTTAGTTCCGCGGCTAGGCATCTCAGCACGTCTCGGTTAGGCACCCCCACCCAGCCTTCATGCTCCCAGCGTTGGAGCTTCTTATTCATGGCTTCACGAACATAAGGTTGGGCGCTGTATATGGTGAGCGCTGTATTCTCGTTGGCGCTTCTTACAGCCGCTAAGGCAGCGAAGAACTCCGCTACATATTGGGACTGGTCGTTCACCGCTGTTGGTCGCTTCCTTCTACGGCGAAAGCGGCTGCTGCTGTCGCCCTCTCACCGGGAGGTGTGTGTATCACACCAGCAGCATAAATTACCAGGTGCAACGGCCGTTGCACCTCTCTTTCCCTTCTGCGGGGCCGCTGGACCGGACGCTCTACTGGCTCGCCCTCTCGCTTTGTCATTATACGCAATCCCTGCGAGAGAATACTCACCTTTCATTACCGATACAAATCCCATGTTGAGTCGGCAGAAAAATGTTGAAAGGGCAGAGCCTCAAACACTCTTCGGAAGTGCTGCGAATTGCACGTCATCTGCGGGCATGAGTACTGAATGGTTGCTCATACCGTTCCATTTTGCGTTCAAAGCCTAGAATTGACTCGGAGTCATGAACTCACCGTTTCAATGCTCGTTCAAACTTCCTGGCACCAGCCCACTGGCACGTTGTTGACCAAAGCGACACAGTAGACTTGTCCTCCAGAACTACTGGGATATACTTATCCGGAATGGTGTAGGGTAACATTACCGCCTCTCATGCCCTCAAACCCTCTATCTGGGTGCGCGGTAGCCCGGGGTTCGATTCCCCGTTCCGGAATCTGTGTTTGCATTACGAATCCAATTTTTAATCTTCTATAGTGCGGACATAACAAGGTCGCAGTACTTAGTTTTTCTGTTTTACCATCACGGTTGTTTTAGATTAAGGACATGAAGTACGCATATCGGTCATACCGGGCAATTGCTTGTTTCGTTTCCGTGGATCAAGCTAAGGAGGGCAGTCGAGCTCGACAACTGAAATGAGCTCCCGGCAATACGGTAACTTGAATTTTGGAATCAACCAGTCTACCCGGCAATCCTATGTTGACAGAAAAATGTTGAACAGGCAGAGTCTCAAACACTCAAAGTGCTGTGAATTGCAGGCCTGAGTACTAAATGGTTGCTCAGACCGTGCCATTTTGCGGTCAAGACTTTGAATTGACTCAAGAACTCACCGTTTCAACGCTCGTGCAAACTTCCTGGCACCAGCCCACTGGCACGTTGTTGACCAAAGCGTCCTTCAGAACTTCTGAGATATCTCCGGAATGGTTCACAAACCAAAACTTGTTTTGAAGAGTTTGTGTCTTCCGAGGGCAACTTTGTCCGCCCAAGACGTTATGTAAGTGTTGCATT